GAACTCTGCATCCCTCCGGTTCTGAGGCCCCAGGCCTGGGCACAGTGGGGCCTCACCAGGACAGAGCAGAGGATGACAATGGCCACTGCTCTTTTAAATCCTACATCTCATTTACCATCTTTAGGTTGGACAAGACATCACAGTCCAAAATGAAATAAAAAAACAAGAGCACAAAGGATTAATCCATTCCCACTAGTCCACTGAAGAATTTAACATCATGCATTCTGTAATACAGCTTATGCATATACATGCTGAAAGAAAAAAAAAAAAAATTAAAAAAAATAATTCAAGCTTGCACTGAGATACTTATGTGCAAATGTTCTGGAATGGTTTTTTAGAGCTTCCTGGATTAATCTATATCTTACGCTGGTATATCATAAGTCTTTGCTTTAACAGCAACACACACTGCTTCCTCTCACGTGCACTGTACAATGCCCAGGAGTTTAATATCTCAGGCAGGAGGGAGTTATTGCCCTCTGAGGGCTTCATAGGGTTATCAACATGAATCTACATCTCACTGTTGCAACTCTGTTTAAAGATACAGCAATCAGTTACTGATAATACCCAAGTGTATTCATCTAATGTGTTGTTATTTCAAAATAAAGTAATTCTAACTTAATGCATGTCCAAGTAAGATTCTGCACAAATGTATTTGTTGGGTTTTTTCTTTGTTTGCTTTTATTAGGGTTTGAATTCTTCCAGTATCATTCAAAGTTCAGCTGACAAGGATTAGGATTGTTCATCCTCAGCACAAATCCCCAAACTAAGTACAGTCTGCTTCTGTAATGGGAGAGCTGCAAAAATGCCACTGAGAAACTACACTGCACCCAGCTCTGCTGTACCCAGTACTGGAAAAGCATTACTTTCTGCTCCACACAAAAAGAATGCATACATACAAACACTAAAAAAACCAAAAGTGAGGCTACAGAATACTATACAATGTTACTCAAGCATCCGGGGCATAAGAAAGGAGCGTACGATTCAGATTCAGAAGAATGCCTTCACTGCATTGCTCAATTTCAACATGCACCTAAATTCCACTCCTAAACATGACTGCTGCCAAAAATTGGGACCAATGAATAGAATCCACCTACAGAGCAAAGAGGAAACTAAAATAAAAACATAAATCTGAATAATTTACATTTCATTGGAGAGAGAGCTTCTAGGAGATGCATGTGCAATATCAATTTTCCTTAAGGATGAAAACTTGAGCAGCACAACACTTAATGGACAGGTACAGCCCTTCTCAGTAGCTCAAGAGCACTGTCAGCTTCACCCAGAATCCCCCCTTTTTCAGCTGTCTTTTAACTGTAGACAAGGAACTTTGAAAACACAACGTTTTTAGGAAGGGTGCTGCAAAAGTAATGCCTCCTTTTTTATTGTGTTGGCTGATGATGTGAGAGGCAGATGTTGAAAGAGTTTTGTAGCTGAGAACTTGCTCTATCACACACACTGTTGTGCTCTTTGCAACAGCCATAGTTTCCATGGAAATAAGTAGGAGGCATTACTTTTGGAGCAACTCACATACAATACTTCTGCTTTGCAAAGTGCCAACTAGACAAACAGACTCCACATGAAGGTCTTACCTGCGGTGGTATAAGTGTATGACAGGAAAATAAAAGAAATGCTTCTGCTTCCTACATTTCCCCTGGTTCCACCAGCAATTAATAGCAACAAACAGCACCTGCAAAGCAGATAAAAGTTCACAGCTAACAGCAAAGTACATTACTGTAACTTTCTTTATCTAGTTTGCTTTTACCCCCAATGCATTCCACCTGTTATTTTCAGCACCTTCTCAAAGCAGTATTTCATACCTGCTCCTCTTAATTCTATCACTTTCTTTCCTTCCTCCCCAACCCTCCCTTTTTTGTTTAAAATCTTTTTGTTGTCATTTCTTTGCACAGCAATATTTTATGGTCACTTTTCCTTCTGGTTTTTAAGCTTCCTAATCTAAATCCTAGGACTGCAGGCAAACTCCCCGTAGTTTCTACCTGAAGGCACAGCAATAAATCCAGAAACACTTTACCAGACAGAAGCTGCAGAGCTCCCCATCCAGGAGCAGAAATAACACACAGATGAGCATGCATCACAGCTTTGCTCCATTCATTCTAGTGCTGTGTATGTAAAATTAAAGACGACTGGCTCAATCACTGCATGGTACAGACATGCAGGTCGTTCTGGTTCCCACAGGATGACAGGAGTTGGCCTCTCTTTGGGGACCAAAGCTCTATCAGATCACATGTAAGACTCCTGTCTTCTCTAGTTACCTGGTCTGACAATCTGCTGGCCACATGTTCTATTTCTTCTCTCATGGCAACCGACTGGCCACACCACGGCGCGTAGAAGAAATACAATGCAATCTCTGAGTCCTGACGAAGGTGATCTGCATAGTCTAACTGTCCCCGAAAAAGATCGATGACGGGAGATCTTGTGGAGAAAAAATTTACTGGAAGCTTTGCTGGCATTGTTACATCTTTTGCTCGGCTGTGGGAAGGAAATTAAGAGGGCTCAGTGAGACTGTGCAGTAATTAAAGAAGCATGCCCAAAGCCTTACCTTAGGGCTAGTGAATGTCATACAGTGACAAAACTGCAAGAATTGACACAAATTATCACAAATTATCAGTTTCAAGAAATACCATGAAAATCTAAAGATCATCCTTTTAAACAAGTTTCCGAAATTCGTGCTGCTGTAACATGCACCATGCTCATGGGTACGTTAGCCCACACTCTTCTTGCTGGGTGCTTCAGAACACAGAATTAGCAGGAAGAGTGATTGCTTTGGATTCCTTCCCTGGCCTCATCCTCTTTTAAGACCTGTACTTTAGGTAACAGCACCTAATAAGAGAGGAGACACTGATCATACAGCTTTCTGATGCTAAAATGGACAGACATCATTACTGTAACTTACACATTGCTGTAAAGTGCTCCATACTTCTATTATTTTATACTCTGCTATGAAAAGCTGTTTTACTATGACATTTACCACCAGGTGAACGCGTACCAGTTCATTTTACCAACACCACTGATCAGAGCTGGGACCACAGACATTGCCCAGGGCATGTTTCCTTTCAGAAGATGTCAAGAAATGGGGTCTTGATTTGAAGACTATACAAGATGGGATGACAACAGATTGAGTCTCTTAAGAGAAATGACTTCGACCAGCAGCACCAAGAAACTGCTTTCTGTCACACCAGCACTCCAATGATCCAGAACGCGGCACTTCCAGCACTTTCTGGAAGTTATGGGAGTTCATAATTCATACCTAAGAGATAGTTATCCGTCACAAAGCGTTTAACATACAGACCAGCTCCTCACCTTCACAATTCATTGGCTCTAGCACCCACAAAAGGATGTGCTCTCACACAGGCTGCCCCAAAGCACTGTGTTAGACTTCTGCCTCCCCCATCGGCAGCCCTGCCAGCACAGCCGCCCCATCCCGCGGCAGGTCCCAGGGTTGGGTGGGTGGGCAGACAGAAGGACGGCGCCTAATAGCTTAAGGCCGAAAAACGGGATACGAGATTGGCTCTAAACTGCAAGAAAACGGGTCAACACGACAGGCAGCAAGAAGAACGACTTAGAAACTACACGGCTGTCCTCAAGTAGGAGAAACACCCCCAACAGATGACGACCAGAGCCGCCGGGTAACAAAGCAGCAGCTCGCCGCACCGCTGCACCCAGCAGCCGCCCTCAGCGGAGCCCTGCGGCTGCGCGGCCCCGGGCAGGGAAAACCCCGGGTGCCGTCGCGCCCCGACCTTCCCAGCGAGGGCGATGCGGCCTGCGGCGAACGGAGCTCACGTCGATTCGAGCTTCCGCCACGGCACCCGGACTCCGCCTCGGGCCGCAGAGCCCCGCAGCAGCCGCTCCCCTCCCGTTCTCCCTCGGCGCGCAGCGGCCGGCAGCGCAGCGCCGCTCGCAAGGGAGGAAGAAGCCGCTCCCCGGCACGGCCAGTGAAGGCCCGCGGTTCGGATCGCCGTCTCCTCCGCCCCGCCCGCACGACCCGGCCCGGCCGGCTTCGGACGCCGCGATCGTCACGGGACGGCACCGCGCGCCACGCGCTCCTCAGCGCCCGACCGCAGAGCGGGGAAGGCGCAGGGCCAGAGCGGCGCTCCGGGCCTTGCTCGGGAGGGTGCCCCGCTCTGGGCCGCGCGGCCCCGTTCCGCCCGCCGGCCCCGGGTCCCCGCAGCTCGGTCCAGCCGCTCCCCCGCCGTTACCTGCAGGTGACTTTGAGGGCGACAAGGAAGGCGCAGCCCAGCACGATGGCGGCCCCGCACAGCAGCTCGGGTCGTCGCGCCATCCGGGCGGCGCGAGGCCGCAGCCGCGGGGCGTCCGCAGGGCCGGGCCCGGGGCCGCCGCTTAACGACATCGCCGCTGGGCGCGGCGGGGAGGGCCGCGGGACACCGGGCCGCTCCCGCTCGCACACGTCTCCCTGCCGCCCGCCCGTCAGCTGCCCGGGGCGGGACTGCCGCCCGCCAACCCAGCGCCGCCACGCAGCGCCGAGCCCAGCCGAGCCCGGCAGGCGCAGGGCAGGCCGGGAGCGGCCGGCGGCAGCGCGGCCCTGAGGAGGAGCGCGGGTGCGCTGCGCTCAGCTCCTGCACGCGGCGGTGCCCGTGCGGCGATCCGGGCTCGCACCGCCGTTCCGAAGAAGGGATTCACGTTTAGTTGCGTCTGGAACGACTTCCAGTAGTTTACAGAGCGCGTGCATCGAGCAGCGAAAGCGTAAAGCAGGAGAACAGTTCAGAAAGGCACGCGGTGCAGGCAGGCTGTGGCGCACGAAGTGTTTTTCAGCCCCGCGCGCCCGTCCGCCTCGCCGACCTTCGGCTCCACCACGTACACAGCACGCGGCCAACGTCATTCTTCAAGCTCCTGTAATTGTTTGTGCCAAGAAGGGTGACTAAAAGTGCTCGAGAGGAGGGAGAATCAGAAGGGGGAAAAAAAAAGGCAAACAAATGGAGCACTTTTTACAAAATCTCGGTCCTAAGAAGTAACACGCAGAAAAGAGCTTTGTGTAAAGTTCTCTTTATTACAGGCAACATTAGTCCATACAATAATACACAATACTGACATACAAGTGTAATCTTTCAAAATCGTCATTTAAACAGCAAAGACCAAGAAACAATTTCAACTACTTCATTTTCAAAAATGAATACGTTTTTCCTCCCACGATCCTTTTTCAGTAAATTATATTGAAACATACAAATAGAGAAAAAATACCCATTCAACATATATTGTAGTTAAATGGTTATTTTGTTTAAAATCTTTAATAAGAAAATCCTTTTTAGCAACCTACATATAGATAAGTAGCAAACTTTGTTTTAAACAAATCGTCTCCATTACAAGATCTGAAGAATATTCATCCATCATTTTCTTAGCCCGTAACACTCTGCTTTGTAATACCTTGATACCGTGAAGTTTTTCAGCTGAAGGACTGACGCTAGGGGGCTTCCTAGACATTACAACCTCTCTCCTCCTTCTATTCCCTAACTTTCTGTCCAACAGGAGGTGAGAAAGCACATAATACTTCAGATTTTTTTATTCACCGCTCTGCTTCATGACAGCACAGACAGGTCCACTCAATTCCCCTAAATCTACTATATTTTGCTGTTCAGGAGGAACAATATATGCCAATAAAAGCAGAAAACCTGCAGCTTTTCTGTCACATGCTTTTGATTATTGTCAATTGTTCTGGTTTATGCTTCCAGCTGGCAACGTGTATGTGTCATCTCAGTATTAGTCTAAACCTTTAAACAAAAAACTATATTTTCCAAAGTCATTATCACTGGGAGCAATCAGGTGGTCTTTTCTTGCTTTGCTGAGCTTCATTCTTAAAACTTGTCTTCGTTCTTCCCACTCATGGAGTTCAGCATTTCCATGGGCAAATTTACAGTTGTTTCCCTCAGTGCAAGTACCAGCCATATATCTGTTAGGACAGACTTTAATCAGTGTTTCTGTAGCTAATCAGTAGCACTGTGATGGCAACTGTTATATCTAGGTATTTTCCCCATCATGTTTTTCAGATGCAAGAGATTCTTATGGACATAAAAATAACTGGAAGAATACTTGATTTTTAATAAGATGAGACTGTTTAGCATTTGATTATACTCTTCTTTCCTAGCTGTCAAGTATTTGTGGAGGAGAAGAGATGACTGTTCTTTGTGACACCTTACTGAGTTATAACGCTTGACATCTTTCAATTACTTGAGGTATTAATGTAACTGATAATATGACCTTCACATTTAATTCACTAAGCTGCAGAACAACCAGTTTTAGAAATTCCATTAATTTTGTTTTGCTAACTAAATTTGGTTCTGGAGTATTCAGCATGACTCAGGAATTCATTATGTTCTAGTATTTTTCTGTTAAATGGTGAGCATACCAGTTGATATTCATTTTATATTGCGTATCTGAGCTCTGTTTCTGTTCTGAACACCAAATTTAGAATATTACTAAAAATGCATTAAACAGGGCACATAAACTAGCATGCAGTGCCTGCACACACCAAATAACTTGCTTTGTATGCTGTGCAGTCTCTCAAGAGATTTGAAACGTTCAAAATCTTTAACACCATATCAAATGGAAAAAGTTTATGAATGAGCAAAATTAACTTTTAACACCAGAATGCAGATTTCAAAGTTTTCAACCTCCCAGTAAAACTGCAAAAGTGCAAAGAGATGCCAGCAGGCTTACCAAAATCTACTCAGTCAGGTAAGGCTGCATTTAAGGATTAAAGGAAGCAGCAAAAAGAACAACCAAAGCTGAAAAAAAAACAACAGGCTGTGCCAATAAAATTTCTACCTGCCTTAAAGCTCCGATTACACTGTCCAACTAGAAACTCTTCTTGTGTTCCACGGGTAATGGAAGGCAGATGTCTAAGCTCACAAACAGTACTTTTTAAGCAAGTTTCTTTCCCTGCTACTCTAAACTTGTGGCCCTTTCTGAAGATCACACAACCATTCGCTGGGTTCCACAATGAGGAAGCTTGTCACTCTCCAACTTCTAACAGCACATGTTCAAATACTGTTAATCACTTACCTTCTTGTTGAAAGATACATGCAAGAAAAGAAATATTGCAACGCTGTGCTCAAACTTGCAATGGCACTAATTATTTATACCATGAAGTGGAATTTCTCAGTTTACAACACAGATCTTAGAAAGCACATACCTATCACAAATACTAAAACATCCGGTTGGAAAGCGATACTGCCAGCAGTTCTGATCATCTTCTGTGTGGAAAACCTTCTCTTTATGCTTTTCAGAAGAAATGTGACCCTGCCACTGTTTCTCACTATTACAGTTCTTCCCACACATCCAACAGTGGAAATCCACCTGTTTAACAGCGTGTTTGAAAACAAAGCATTGAGAATTCAATTTTACAAGCACAGACATGTTCCTAATGCGTTTTAAATGTTTTCTTTATGTCAGCCTGCAAATTGTTGCTTAGCTTGGATACAGTTACTTAAACAACACCTGAAGTTTATGATTTCCACTGGCTTTAGAGGATCCCAAAGAAGTGCCTCATAGTCTCAGTTAAATTGTGCATTTAGCACAGCTAGCTATGAGATAAGAGAGCAGCAGGAGAGTAAGGACAACAGCACATTACTGACTGGGGAGGAAAAAAGAAAGCACGATCTTACATTTACACCTATGATTACTTACTGTTACTTCAGCATAATCAGTTGGCATGTGAATTTGCTTCCCATTTTCTTTATTTGCCTGAGCAGCTGTATCATCTCCTTTTTCTGGTTTTTGACTTTTTAGCCATATGTCATACAACTGCTCCAAGTCTTGAACTAATGAGAGCAGAAGCTAAAATAAGTAATTAGCAATTAAGGCAAAAGTCTGAGAATACTAGATAAATGACTGAGTTTGCAAGCATAATTCAGTCCCCACCTATTTCAATAAGAAAAAAAAGCAGCACATGCTATAGGCAGCTACACGGTTTAGAGATAAGAACCAAGAGCAATACGAATCTCTGGCTACTCACCAAGACCTGTTTCTACCTACACAGAGGAAAGCAATGCATTGCGTATTTCCAACAGACACACAAAGTAAAGATAACTTGGTAATCTGCTCCATGGACCGATATGCTACTTCTAACACTTTAAGAATATAATACAAACTACTTTGTTATTAAAATACAACTCATCATGTCATGAATATTTAATGCAGCTATTTTTATTTAATACTATTTTTGAATACTCAGCCAGGGCTCATTCCAATAAATTAAGTGCCTTCAAGGCCTACTACAAAAAAAAGGTAGCAAAGGAAAGTTGATTAGTAAGTTATCGAGCAACAAAAAAGAAGAGCAGAGCAGTTAGATTTACAGCATTGCTTTAATCTCTACTTTTTTACTTACTGCTGTTCTCCTTCATGTATGTCCACATCTCTCTCTCCTCAGGACTGTGAGCAAATGAGCAGTTTCCATCATACTGACATTTCTTGCCTGAAGCAATATGATTGCACAACTAGAATATGAATTAAAAATACATTCGCCATGAATATAAAGTAAAAATGGTGATAGCAGATTTTATTAAAGTTACGTTTTCTCTCACCTGACAGACATTTACATTACATGAAACATAAAACCATGCCTGCTTTGTAAAGTGAACATAGTTTGAAATGCAAACTGTTAATTGCAAGCACCAGGCCTGCTTTTTACCTTCTATTAGATTACCACATCACACAGATGTTTGGAAGATTTCTAAGATGATCACTTAAAGAACTAGAATTTAGTTAAAGCATTTTTAAGTGATCAACTTCTGCTGATGAGAGAGGGCTTCAGGAACTGAAAAGGACTAATCTCACAGGTTAAGGCTGAACTCTGGAGAAACACTTGGCATATTTCCACCAGCTCCCCTGGGAATTTCTGCAGAACTGATGAAATCAGGCCAGTTACTGGTATTTTACAGTTACTCAGTTTTCTTAACGCAAAAGGTTATTTTAGGTTAACGTACATCAAACTGCAGAGGCACTTGTTTCTTTGCAGGAAGGGGACGAATGGTCATCCACTTCTTGCGCTCGTTAGACATTACAAGCACCACGCGGCGATCTTTGGTCCACCTAGAGAAAAACAGATGCGTTCAGTGAAGAGAAGCAATAGTAACCAATGCGGCTCTGGGCAGCCTGGTCTGGTGGCTGCCAGCCCTGCACACAGCAGGGGGTTGAAAGGCGATGATCACTGCGGTCCTTTTCAAGCCAGGCCATTCTATGGCTCTGGGATAACAAAAGGTACACTACTAGATCAAAGCAGTGCCAGGAAAGACTACAATGAATGTTTACTCCATCCTTCTAGTTGGGATTTAACTGAATTTTTCTAGAAACTCTATTATGCTTCAATGTGCTTTTTAAAATTCCTTGTATGACTTCTTTCCTTGACAAAGTCACAAACTGTTCCAAAAGAGATTTTAAGCCGCTGACAAAAGGCAAAATTTTTGCTGCTGTCTTACTTACGGGTGTCTTGCCTTTGCACTGCAGTATTTTCTGTTTCTGTCTGGCTCATTAACTTGACCATTCCTCCAGCACTGACCACAAACAAACTTCATCTTCAAATTAAGTGATCCATATTTCATTTGGTTCCCAAGGATCTTACGCAAAAACAAGAACAACAACAATGAAAGGTATTGTGTATCTGCAAAGAAATCCACACATAATTATGAATTATGCCCTATGATAAAAGTTTACGACACATGTCCGTAAGCTGTAGTTACACTACATGCCTTGTAATAGTTTTGTCTGAAATTTCAAACCTAGGCATTTTTTAAAGAATGCATTTTTAACTTATTTCTGATTTAGGCATATGAACCCAGAAGCTGCTGATACATCATATTATCACTGTACAGAAGTCCAACATATTGAAAAGATAATTAATTGCCCTGTGGCAGATGCCTTTGAAATGGTACTTAAGTTTTCTGTTTCACCTATGACAGAATAAGCAAAGCAAAAAAGGAATTGTGTTGAAGAAAAGCAGGCGTTTCAAGCGTAAGCGCAATACGGAAGGCTACGCTGAAAGTTTGTTTAGGGAGCATGAGAAGTAAGCAATTTCTAAGATACACTACATTATACACAGACCAAAAAAAGAATCAAAGTTGCTACAGCATCAGTTTTAAGGCAAAATGAAAATACCTGTGACCCGTGTGCACTAGCTTCCATGTTCTGCCAGTATTTCTTTGATTCTTGAACAATAGTGTCATGTGAAATACCTTCAAAGGAAAGTTAAAAGCTCATGAGCACTTACAACTAATCTAAAATTTCAGACATGATCAAATTGCTGTGCTACCCAAGTCCCAAACGTTTATTTACGTATGTACATACACATACACGCATATTAAGAATCTCACCTCCAAAATATAAATGTAGTACATAACCTTACATTAAAAAGACAAAAGTTTCTAAATTACAGACTGTCCAACTACATAAAGATGCATCTCTGAGTATTTGTGCAAACTAACTTCTGTAAACATATCCTCTGCCATCTCACTAGAGAACTTGCATTTTATTACACACACAAAAAAACACAATACCAACTGGCAGAAACTAGACTGCCTCCGTCCTCTTTAAAAAGCAAGCCCTGCTAATTAAGCTTTGTTTCAGGAAGGCCATTCTTACAGCTGTTTTGGCTAAGGTTCCTATTGGAGCTATACAGTGTTCTCACATACTGTAACAGTTATTACTGCAATTCCACACAAACAGGGTCTATTATCTGTGTTTGGATTTGTGGGTTGGTAAAATGCTTCTTCCCTGAGGTAGGATTTGTTTTCTTCCCACACCTTACGCTCTGAAGAGAAGCCTGGTGCTGAGAGCAGAGAACCAGAATCGGAACAAGATCCAGAGCTCTAACTGACTTTAGGGAAGTATGAGGGCACCACAAACACATCCCTCCAAAAATAAAACACATCCTTCTGTGACAAAACAAGTTTCCTGGAGAACCCAACCCTTACTTCAAAATAGAGATTACAGAGTAAGTATCTGCAATGCTGGACTTCGTAGGGGCGGTGGCTAAGAACAGAAAATAACCGTTTTATTTTCACACAGAGACCTCTAAATCAGCTCAGGAGAGACAGACTGGAAATCTGCACAGAAACAGTCACCTCTTATCTCTCTCTGACGTCACATCTGTGTGACATCTTCTGTTATCACACTGGTACAAGAATTGAGATAAACTGAGGAATAAACCACCAGCAGAAAGGGGAAAAAATGCCAGTGACACTGCACTACATGGGGACCTGCCAAGCTTCCTTCCTCCTCTGCATCACAATGATCCAGCACTGCTTAAATAAAGTACAGTCATACAGAGCAAAGTAGAACAAATCAGTGACTATGCTGGGCCATAAACCCCTTATTGCCAACAGTTCATTGATTACTTTAAATTTCGTAACAAGAAGATTATGAAGGGTTTTAAACTTCTGAACAAGGAAGGACAGTAAGTACAGAGACATACAGTTCAAAAGACATCAGCTAGAAATAAAGTACTGAAATCTGTTATCTTCAAAGAAGCCAATAAAACCCAGCAAGAACAAAGCAAAACAAAACAGCACTCTAAATATCCCGTGTAAAGAACAACAGAAAAACTGACTAAACATATAGACTACTGAGACAGGATGCCCACCTAGAAGCATTTATTGCCTGGCTTACTACATAGGAATACCAGATCAATACTAAGCTAAACTTAGAATTCTAAGTTTAACTACAAGGAAAACAAGGTTCTTGCATGTGGGGACGGATTGGAACAATGGCATAAATAACATACACCAAGGTTTTGTTTTCTTTTTTCCCCGGTGCTCCATGAAGAAGATATTTGATCAAGATCTTCTAAACTGCGAATGCTTAAAATTAAGAAGAAATCTGGTTTGACTTGGATTTAATAATCACGAGAGACTTCAGATTTCATTTCAAGAAAAAGACGTATCAGGTGATAATAAGCCGTTCTGACAGTTTTTATTATTAAAACCTTTCTAACCTTCAATAGCAAGTACACTTATCAACACTTTGCACCCTATTTACACAGCTGTTTCTCTAACGTGCTGCTACGAAAGGTTTCAGCAGACTGGAAGTCAATGCACCTTCCCCAGGTAGGTACTGCAGCAAAACAAAATGAAGAGCATTCTGTTAAACATACCTGTTTCTTTTTGCATTATCCAGACTTTAAGCTCTACCAGACTGTGAGCATAAAAGCATTTATCCTCTCTTAAGCAGCCATAGTGTACCTCGTGTCTGCACAGGTCAAGCTGACACCGAACTTGGAAAGGGCGAATTTTGGAATACTTCACCATAGTTTCTCGCAAAATGTGGACAAGGCACCTATTTAAAGAAGAGTCAGTCTTAGATATGTCTTAACATGACTTAACGTGTGGGGAAAAGATGTAAAATAACCCGCCATTATCACAGCTTACTCAAATGCCTCTATAACACTCACTTGAAACCAGCGGTTTCCAGAAGGAAGCAGCACCTAATTATTGTTCCTAGTCTGAGTAAAGCAATTACAAATCAGCGCTCCTGCAAAACCAAGAACTTCACCTTCTACACAGCATTACTGAATCCAATCCAACTGGATCATTGGTTTCGAAGCAGCAAAGTGTATCACGTTCACTTTTAAGTATACATTCTATTTTCACACAAGAACTTATTCTTTTTTTAAAGCATCATTAAATAAAGAGTTGATGCGTCCCAGTAAAAGCTTTACTCTTACAGCTGCAGTATTTCCTCAACGTAGGGAAGTGGAGCATGAATAAAGCAATTAAAATGCTCCTACTTCCATTTCTGTCATATAAAATTTTAAGTGTATGCACTATAAAAAATCCACTAATACTGCTACGAAATCTTTTTATCTTTCGAAGAATAATTTAAGGGGCTTCTGCCACATTGCCTTGCATGAATTGAATTATTAAGACCTACGGTCTAATTCAGGTAATTAACTGCAGGTAATTAAGGTAAGCCTGTACTTGACTGACTGGGTTAAAACTCAAGAATAAGCAAATTAGACTGAAGAAAGAAGATATTCATAAAATCCTATGCAAGTTCAGCACCACACAAATAATTATACCAATGCAGCTCACCAAGCAGACAAGCTGCTAACAGGCTCACAAAGAAGTAGGAGCCAAACACAAAGATGGATACCACTGGTTTTGAATGCATTGATAATGACTCAGCTCTCACAATTTAGTTACACAGGGCAATCCTTGTTCTCAAAGCTTGTCTTAGCCATACTGTCAAAACACTGCAGTTAGTTAGCAAGGAAAAAAAATCATCAACAAGGAAGAAATGAAAAATCAATATTCAAGAATGCCCCACAATCTTTGCTTTTAATTTGAAATTCAAAGGCATGGTTATTTCAGACATACTTGTTATCTTCGAAGTCATGCATAGCAGGGTGAGAACAAGAAGATGAATTATCCTTGTTCCTTTTGCTTATTATTCTGGGTTTATGATCAAAACATTTCTGGAATAAAAAAAACAAGTAATTATAGAGTATTTGTTTAAATATATTTAAAAGTATACCTCACCTTAAGTATTTTATCATAGACTTCAGCTAGTCTCTACTTCAAAGCTGGTCAGATTATTACTGAACACACATTTCAAAATTTACAAGTCAGTCACGAGCAAAAGCATTTCTTACAGGATAACTATATTACCTATTTTTATTACATCATTAAAGATAAAGCAGCACCTCACAAAGAAACATAAAGAATCCATGATGTTCTTGAAGAAGTCGTGACACGGTGAAGTTGATCTTTCCATTCCCTCCAAAAAGAGCTTCTCGACTAAAAGCTCCTTTGCGCTCCAGTGTCCACACATCTATCTCCTCCTGGCAATAGGCAAACGTGCAGTGCCCTGGATATCGGCATTCCTCTTCAGCAGCAACATCTAAAATGGTAACACTGAATTTGACGCTGCTTTTACATAACTTCTATTGTAAGTCCATCTTAGAACCTTTATCAAGCAACATCTGTTGTGAAGTCTAGCCGATAGGAGCAGCACCTCATCTCACCTCAACTGATTTGTGCATCAGCCTTTCTGAGTTTTAACTTTTCAACATCTCCATCAACTATATTTCTGCATTTTAAGGCAACAATGCTGAGAACCAAGAACCTTTCCTTAAATACAGTCAGATACAGCTGTTAATTAACACACCAGTCATCTTGCTTGCACCATAAGCAGTCCATACTGCAAAAGAATATTTTCTTGCTATTGTTGTTTTGCATATTCAGCACTCGGAATACACTGCATTGAGGGCAACAGTATCCACCAAGACTGTGTGACAGTCAGACCAGTTCTTTTGCAAACCTACAGGAAGCTGAAAATGCTGTCCTGCAAGTCCCTCCTAGTCCAGAGCATGTTTTTTATTGACAGAGACTAACTTGTGATTAGCAGGTGTGCACACTGACAGACCTGCTGTAGTCAGAGAGCATGATCTGTCCTCCCTCTCTCCTGCTGGCTTGCCAAAACAGAGACACGTATGCACACCAGAACTTTTGGGGGAATGTCAGAGATCAGAAGGGAACTCCTTCTTTGCCAGTCTCCATTTATCCGTACTGCATCCGTACACAACTCGCAGGAAAAGAAGGAAAAGGGAGATGGCTTAAGGGGATACAGTAAAATGAAGCAAGAATATAAAAATATCCCACTCAAAAGTAAAGTTACTCATGATGAAGAGCAGAAGTACAGCTCATGTTTTCCAAATAATCACATTGTCAAAACACAGCTTCCCTCATGACTGAGAATATACAGAACCCAGTAACTTCCCCATCTCCTCTCACATATAAAATCTCATTCAATACTTCACCGTGATAAACCTAAGAGATATTAGTTCAAGCACGAACATTAACATTCACCATCTGTAACACACCTACCTTTACATATATAATATGGTCCCACATATTGTGTTTTTGTTGGTCTTGGACGTATTTTTTTCCATGATTTATCTTCAGAATTTTTTATTCTACCAATTAGAATATCCTTCTTACATTTATGTTCTAAATTAGGGTGGTAAGCATAATCCAGTAATTTAGGACCTGCAACAATCACGAAATGGCTTATATTCACATAAACCGCAGCAAAGTTTCATAATTTCCATGCACAGATTGGCACATACACCCAAAAGTGAAGTACACAAACACAGTGCATGGAATCCTTAATTGCAGCAGCAAGTCTGAAGAACCACAACTCATCAGCAGCCATGTTGAGCAGAACAGAAATAAACTAAATACTTACAAAATGACCAGTTTTGGCAATAACAGCATGGAGGGAGTACTGCATTATAACCTTGTAAGTACTTTGGGACAGCTACAAATCACTACCTTTTGTCAAATTCCAAAGTATATTTTTCCATAACACTATTTTTAAATTTAATTTGCGATTTACAAGAAGTCTACACAGGTGAACTCCAAGGATCAGAAAATGGCTCACTTAACCTTCATTTTTTATTATATTAAAACAGCTACTATGTTCAGACTCAAAACAATAGGTAAGAAGTACATGTGCCCAAAATACAAATGTCAGTCCCGAAGCTTTGTTGTTTGGGAAGGAAAAGTGTGCCTTTGCTTATACTTTCGCTTCAGGATGACATTCAAGTGAAGATTATATTACACCTAAAAGAAAGACATCCGGGAGTTAAGTTTGAAGACTAGCAACGCCCAGTGACCTTCACTCTTTGCTACTGAAGGGACTATGAAAACAAGCACGTGGCCCATTTTCCCTGGACAAGTTGATGGAACAGTATAATTTTCGGTTATATAAGCAGGAGATTCTTAAAGGCTTTGACAGGGAAACAAAGAAACAGAAGAAATAGATGTGTTGATATAAAAAAGAGAAGACAGTGAACACACAAAGTATTTCTTTCAATGTTCTACAGCTCCTGTGCCTTTAGCATGTTTCAAATCACTTCATAGATTTTTCTTGTAAGAATAATTTCAACCTAAAAAAAGTTCTTGTAACTGCAATAGCCATCATCGAAATGCCTCAATACAATTCTCTGCAAGATCCATTACTATGGAGTACTTTAATATTGACACCTGTAACTTGAAGCACAATGTCTGTTTTTTAAGATTAGTCTTAATAAAGCTATTGCTCCTAGAATACAGCTCTTTTTAACAGCAGCAGCTCAGGCCTAAAAGATTAGTTATATTAAAGCCCAGTACAGGTTAGGATCCTTTCAGTCAATACAGTGAAGTTAATTATTACTAAGGTTTGGAAGCCTCATGATTATGATTTAGAATTAGTCTGGAAAAAAAACAATAAAACAGATGGGATGTGAAGGTTACCAGGTACTTTGAACTGCAGTTCAATTCCCCATGGCCAATCAGAGAGGGTATTGCAAGTTTTTTTTAGTCTTGAGCAAAGGTGTCATTCTTCACAGTACCCTGGGCATTGGGAGGAAAGTGAATACAGAATGTGAATGTCCTTACATAGCTGACCTACAGCTTGGGGAAAGCATGTGGTGACTGGTGGTGGTTTTAGAAATCAAGAACCTAGTAGGACAACAGATAGAGACAAGAAGAAAGAAGATAAAAAGCTGTTGAAACATTCTACCAGTTCCTTAATAACACAATCATACTACATCTGCTAAGAACAAGTCAGAATTGAACGCTATTTAGAAGCCAAAAGTACTTTTATTTGTTTTATTTCACAGTGTTTTAAGAATATGTTTTTGTTTTGTATTTAAATCAATCCAGTCGGGTCCCAGCGCCCCTTACCTTTTTTAACAAAACATAACTGGCAGGCCTGTCTTAGCTCATGTGTGCCTTCTAGTGGGTTTCTTCCCGCAAGTGCTGAAGATACAGGTATATTAGCAGTTGCACTGCTAAAAACATTTGAGAAGTCATTTCTAGTTTGACCTGAAATTCCCATGTAATTTTCAGACCCAAACAAACTACTAGGGCCATTTATCTGTAGGAAGAAAGTACATTTTACTTGAGTTACTTGAGAAAGTACATTTTACATCTCATTTCATTTCTTCACCAAAAAAAAAAAAAAAGAAAAGCTTATTAAAATTATTATTCAAAGCATTAAAAAAGTTGCATGGAAAAAATCAAGTACAAACTTAAGTACGTGTCATAAAAGTGGATGCAGAGATTTCACATACACTCATTAAGACCTACGTTAAACCCTTGATGTATCAACATCTGAGCTGATGGAAAAGAGAACATTAAATACTTACAAACAACGGAGAGTTATTGCTGCTAAGTGTTGGTGTTCCATCTCTAGAAGCTGAACTTGAAAGGTCTAAAAGAAAAGTTTCAATTACTTCAGTTTCCCCAACACATCCTATTCACAAAATTATAACTCCCGAAAAGCATTAGGTATCAGAGTATCAGAGGTTTGTTTTTTAACAAGCAACACATCTTGCTGTTGTTTGCTACCCACTTCTGCACCTTTTTTTTTTCTTTTTTTTTTTCAAATTGTGCGAAATCCCCCTTGTAAACATCTTGGTTGAAAAATAACTAGGTAACCATTGTCAGTACAACCACCTGACTAACAGTAGCAACAGCTCTGCAGACATTTGCTGAAGGAACGTAAAGAGAATACTAATGCTGGATAAAAAGGTTAGCTAGATAACCAAAACTTATTTATCAAAAATACAGATATGCAAGAGGGATAAGAGGATTCTTCTATTTTTTAATTTTATTTTGTTAATTTGGCTTCATTCTTAAGAGCACATTCTGTAACACTGGTGATTAGAGATAAAATTTATTTCTTCTTTTCTAGTTCTCTACCTATTTCTTTCCATTTCACCACATAATCACCTGCAGCTTGAATCCAAACATGTAATGTTGCTATCTTTTCAAACTACACAGTTATACCAACCATCTTTTTAGGTCTTTTCATGTTTATTGTCAAATCATCAGCAATGGTTTATGCTTTGTTAAACAGATACATACCCTGAAGCTAACATGGCTCCTACTTAATCCTTGTTCACCCAAAACTAGTAACTTCCACAATAAACGTAAAAGAAACGAAGAGAAGAAGCTTAAAGAAATTATGCAGACCCAAAGTAAACAACAGCTTTCTTTATGAAATCTTGTGTACACCCAACACTGATAATCAGTACAGCTAAAAACGTGAGCACAGACCATATTTTCTGCACATGCTAAGCACTGCTGAGTAGCAGTAAAAATCTGTTAAACAAGGAGTCAGTCTGACTGTCTCCTACCTCACTCTCACATCATAAGGTTAAATATTAATACTCCTTTTTTACCTCTTTTTGGGTCACTGATTGAAAAGGTGCTTAATGGTGAACAGAAATTTTCCAGTGAAGAAGCCAAAGGCTGTGAAAAGATTTCTGAAAGAGAGGGAGTAGGAACAAATCCTGTACTGACGGGCAACGTCCCCAGCAAAGAAGCAGAGAAGGGCACACTGGGAGCCACACTTCCTGCAGGAATAGGTCCCCTGGCACCTGTAGTTTGCTGTATAAAAAGAAGTTTAAAAAAAAAAAAAAAAGAAAAAAAAAGTTCACACAGGAAAAGAAACCACCTCAATACAATCTGTAACAGCCTCCCATTCTTCCTTTTAAGAATGTTTTCAATAAGTTTTTGTAAACCTACAGAAGAACAACGACAAATACACTACAGTACTGTAGAGAACTGCAGAAATCACATCTCAATGCTTTAATGCAAGGAGTCATCTATAAATCAAACTTTTTAAAGGTTCAGTTAGCTGAACTGAAGAAGAAATTTTGAACTTTTTTTGAGTCAGAAACCTACACAGATTTTTCTAAATAAAGAGACCATAATTCAAACAGTAAGGAGTTAAGAGTTAGCACTGAAATGGAACCTGGGGCAGTACCAAATGACAGCACTGTCTATGTAAGCCAATTTACCTTCTTCCCTCAAAGGAAAACCACGCATCCTTCCGTACACCTCTGACAGGGACGTGACAGAATTTGGGAGCTTCCTTCCCTACATCTCACCTGCTGCCACAAGAAGCTCCCTCCTTGGCTGGAGGCTGATCAAACTGTCTGCACAGAGTGGGCAATGTCTCATCCCCAAGTGCATTCAGGTTCTATATTACATGAGGCTTCAATCTACCTCAAAAGATAGCATTTGCCATTACTGTGGCAAGTTTGCTATAATTTAACAATAATTGCAACTGAAATTTCCACAACAGATACAACAAAATGAAATGCATAAAACTTACAGTAAGAAGTCTAAGCATCTTTTATTTTAAGAAATCAAGCTCAAGACAGAACCAGTTCTGCAATCAATCTTTTTTACAGCTGTATCCATAGCTACATGAGAATTAAAAATCACAACTAATTGAAAAATTCAACATGCCAGATCCTCATTTAGTAGTGTGATATTAAGGGCTCCAAATGACCGTCACAGACACAGCTCAGAGTCAGTAACCTTGCTATTAAGTTCAGCCATTGCTGCTCAGCAATCAGAACTTTCACTTTGACTGTCAGTTGAGAAGCTCTGCATGCTTTGTATGCTCTAACTCTAGAAAGGCTGTGTAATGAAGAATAACTCAAAAAAACCTCAATTTTTCCAATAATCTCTTCTAACAGATATGCAAAGTTAGCCTCACAGTGGCCCATTTCCGGTTATCTGCCACACAGGTCTGGACAAAGCTCTGATTGCAGAGCTACTGCTTGGTGCACTAGGAGACAGCAGCGCAAGTACTGCTGTCCTGCAAAGTTGTAAGCATGAGCTTGACTTTGCACAGTCCCGGGTGGGCACACCAAACATCCTCAGGTTCACAGAGGCCTCAGTTATAACAATATACACCAGTCAGACTTCAATGGTCTGCTTCGCTTTTCATGGCATTTCCTGGAAGTAATATCTCTCCCACAGAGGCACTGTTGGTAGCAGTGTTTTTCAAAGCAGTCTCCATCTACGAGCAACCTCACTCAAATCTTCTAGCACACAAATCCAATAGGATTTCCCTGGAGCTCTGCCACGTCCTGGTATCTTTACAGCCACATTTGCAAGCCCACACGTCTGAGCGGATCAATCTGACCATACACAACTACAGCTCAATGTAACCATAAAAATTAATTCACAAACAAAACAAGATCTCACTCAAAAGAAAGCAAACAAAGTTTTACCATTATGCTTTCATCTGGATCAGGCACAGAATCAAGTAACTCATCAAGTTCTTCACCAATAATTATATCTCCATCTCCACAATCCAAACATGCTTCTGGCATAGAGAAAGAAACATTTCCTCCGTTTGCCAACGTTGCAGAAGGCAAAGAAGCTTTTTCCACTTGAAGAGACATAACAGAAGATAAAGACGATATGGGTACTGATGCCACTTTAGACAATTCAGAAACAAAGGCTGATGAAGAAGCAGAAGAAACCGTATCTTGCTTCTGGTCAGATAAATCTGGAACAGAAAGACAGGAATGAGTGGAACTTTTATTCAGAAGTGTAAAAACGCCTCCCCTAACCTTTAGCCTGATGGTGTCAGGAGAGAGAGAATAGAGAAACTTGAATTGTAAAGCAAAACTACATTAAATATCTTCCAACTCATATGTACCCATCTCTCTGTGCTCATATACTGCTCAAACTTAAAAAGACAAGAAAAGTTACAGGCTTGATATGCTCCTGAACCTCTGGCACGTTCTCCCCTCCTTATTCTCAAGTTTAACAGGTCAGTGAAACAATTATATTAATAGCAGTTCAGTCCTATCATGATGAGGACTGGCTCAGCACCTGAATGTGTAGTTTCACAGATAAATATATCAGACTTTTGACACAGATCTTGCAAATGACAAGTTAAATCTTCTTTAAAAAATTTTCATAACAAATACAACTAGAGATATTACGTATCTAGTTTCCTAGTATTAGTATTCTAACATACACAAGACTCACCTAACTCAATATCTTCTACAGAAGAAGAATTCTGCAAGTGAGAAAAAACAACTCCTCTCAGTACTTTGCACAAGAGTCTTTAATATTTTTCAAACATATATACTTACAGGCAGAGAATGTAAGCCCTCAAAATTAGGTTTAATACAACTTCTAAGTTATGAAGTCCAGTGGATTTAAGGGTGAAATAATTTTTAAGATAACGCATCCCACTGCAGACTGAAATACAATTGCTGTACCACTCAAAACCTGTAACTAACCGACAAATAAAAGAGCAGTGAGCCGTTCTGGTGTTTTCCTCATTCTATCCCAAGTCCTCCTTTACAGCTAAATTGCCTGTTTCATCTGAAAAAGTCTTTAAGACAAAGGAGAACTCTTCCTTGGTGCTACTCAGACACATTAGCTGTAGGAAGACAAACACCCATTTAGCTACTAATGAAGGTCAAATTTTGGCAAACGTAAATCTAAAGGCATTTCACCTCAGCATTCTTCACTTTCATTACTCTCCATGATATAAAATAAAAAAACACATTAGCTACATCCTTGCCTCAAGATGTTAAAAGTAAATATATTCACTGCACTAGATTTAAAGTTCTAGCTCATATTCATTCTACAGAGATAACCTGAATGATAATCTCACCTCACCTCAGTCTGCAATAAGTACATTGCAAAGCGGGATACAGAAAACAACAGAACCCTGAAGTCCAAAATAAAACGTCAAGTGCAAATTTTCACTTAATCATGGTGAAATGATGAAAGAGTTATTCCCTGCAGTTTAAAGTCAGCTTATGCTTAACAACATGTCAAAGCTCACCTGAGTTGATATATCACTAGAAACAGAATTCGAGGGCGGCTGCAATGAAAAGACACCTTCATTAGCTACAAAACTGATATCAAGGGAAAAACTCAACATCTTTGTTAAAACTGTAACAATTTGTGAGTTAAAACCAAATCTTACCTTTGCTCTTACATATGCTTTCCTTATTTTTAATCCTAATTTTTGAGCTAGTTCTTGAGTAAGCTTAATCACACTTTCATCCTGAAAGAAATAGAATATCATAACGTACGTGGATTACCATCTAGTGAAAGACAACTTTTTACATCTCAAATACTCTTTGTTCTGCAAGATCTCTACGTGCACGATGTCTCTCAATGCACACTATACTCTCACAACCATGGGATTGCAAGCTGCACTCAGAAAAATGCAGATCCTCAAGCAACATAATTTTAAGGTCTGGGAAAAAAAAAAAAGCCAGAAAACAGACAGTATCCTGCTCTACTGCTTCTCTGAATAAAAAACAAAGATTTTCCACAACTACAGCAGTTCAGAGAAGATGCAGGGTGTGTACACACACACACACACACACACGTTTACACTATTTATGAGGTAGAGAAAGGAAAAAAAAAATCACCTCAGTATTTTGCCCTGTTATCTATCCATTTTAAAAGAAGATTCCATCAGCATGCTCATTCGAACAGGAATGCATTTCTGAGGCGAACCCCTCAATCATCCTCACACTCTGCATTTTAGTCTACAGTATGAGCAGGCTCAGAGTGCCAAATTAGACTTGTTCTAGATGAAACAGAAGTGCTGCTGGAGCACACCTGCTGCGCTCCAAAACAACAACAAAAAAAAAGCATGGAAATCAGACTGTCAGCAGCCTCACTGCAGCCTGCAGATCCTGTTCTGCTACAGCACCCACTGCCTGCTGACACAGACGTAGCCTACAACTATGGGTCTCATTGAGCACGGCTGAGAACTACATTACTAAATGCTTGGAGAACAAACATGCCACAATCACATGCACAAATACTAAACTTTATAATTACAGGTGCTTTTTCTCTTTAGAATACACTTCTGTCTAGAGAATCTTAAACAACAGTTAATTCAATGGTTCTATTGTTTATGCAGCTTATGGCGCTTGATCCATACAGGAATGTATTTCTTTAGGTGATCTCATTGCCTCTGCTGAGATCTGCTATCAGTCTTCACATCCAAAGTAAGCAGTAAGAATGGGAATAAAAAAAACAACGCACCAAAACCTGCATTTAAAACAAACAAAAAAGTAATGCTCTTGATGTAAGTGCATATTTTCTGCATTAATTCTGTAGAAATAGCTACAAACAAATGCATCATTTGCCTACCTGTGGCACAGCAAGAGAACATTTTGCTACAGCATCATAAGCTGTCTTATACCTTCCCAGCTCGTTCAGTGCTTTTGCTTTCCGATAGAGTGCTCTAAAATTATTTTCATTTAACCTTAATGCTATCTCACAGTCTTCTAAAACCTTTTCATGCAGTCCCTGCGAGGGAGAGAAAAGAAAATAGGAACTAATCAGAATAATTTTTATAGTTGGAATGTAGAATTTGAGCTGTATTAGACACAGGTACTGAAACACTATGAAACATCCACCAAGGCCCCTGTACACCACACATATGAACTGCCCTAAGCCACTGACCTATGCAACTAAAAAGTTGGCTATCACTCATATAGAATCCAGTAAGAGGGATGAAGACAATTTAATTCTTTCTCAGAGCCATGTTATCGCACAGGCAAAGTGGCAGACTCAGGAGCAGTCAGCAACAGAAATAGATTAAACTACTCTTCTATCAACTTCCTGGCACGACTGTTCTGGAGGTTGGTGGCCTGCTCTGTGGTCCCTGGGGTCCCTTCCAACCCAAGCCATTCCACAATTTCACAGTTCTGGCTCTTCTGCTATTTATCTAGTATTGGTAACTACAAACATCCAGGTGACCACGCTTGTGAAAAGATGAAACAAAGCAATACCAACAAAGCAACACCAACAGCTTTTCACTGCTAAACTTTCCATGCCATCACAGTGTTAGTAGGTGATTCTCAAGGAGTGATACTGTTTCAATAGAAGCTTACCATATTTGAAAAACATGCTATCCTGTTTACATGTAGCTTCTCTAAAATATCATCAGACACATGGATTTCTTCAGAATTAGCATAATCTGCTATGTTTATAGCTTCTGAATAGTGATTCAGCGAGCCCCTCCAATCACCTTCTCGATACACATCGTTCCCTTCATTAAAAAGATTTCTAACAAGTTCTCGTATAAATAGCTGTAATAAAGAAAAACACTCGTGAACAACAGTATTTGTTGTGTATCTTCCATATTTCCAAATACATATTTAAACAAACAGAAAAATGTATACTTGTAAATAAATGGAACAGAAATGATTTTTTTTTGTCTACAGTAGAGTTTTTTTTCCCAAGACACTCCCAAATACTCAGCATCACAACACATGCAGATGGAGCAGGCGGAAGGACTTGCAGCCATTGCTTTGTGTGTGGGACTTATCCAAGGCGTATGTATCTGTGCTCCCCGCACTGTTAGCAAACAGCAGCCACAGCAGCTGGCAAGCCAGCAGCACACAAAGGCTGCTTCCGCAAAGCAAAAGACTTTTCCAATGTAAAATGTGAGCATTAACAATCTGAAGTAACGCATTCTTGAGTCCAGTGATACAATTTACTGTTGAATAAAAATACTAGAAGGATGTGTGAAAATGTAAGCCCCAAAATTATACTAAATAGTAACACATAGCATAACCAAAATCTGTTACAAGAATGTGCGACTCAAGTCCTTTATCTCACTTTGCTGCACTACCCTAAACTTCACCAGATACAGCATGTCATTTTATCCAATGAATGCCCAAATTCATCCCTAACACCAGCAGAGCTCATCTGAGCTGCTGAGCAACCGTCAGCTGTCCAAATATCTGAATACCTGTAGCACAATTTATGTAGCTTCTATGCTGAGACATTTTAAAATTACCATTCATACTGTATTATTCCTTAAATAATGATTGAAAGCAAGAATAAACATACCAAAAAAAAATTAAAAAAAGAAGAAACACTTCTGGAAATGCAAAAGTAATTTTATTACCTCATATTGTTCTTGTGTCCCTGGGTAGGGCAAAGTAGATCTAGAAAAAGAAATTACAAGATGCACTTATGGAACACACGGCTCACCAGACAGTCACAGCAGACAACACTGGCTCTTACTTAGAAGCAGCATTGCTTGCTGCCTAAACCCAGCTGTGTTCTTCAGCCTGTACTGAACAAGGCAGGAGTGCTGCTGAGCAGATTTAATTAAACAACAGTGTTTTGCTATTACTAATGAATCATTTTCATTTAAAGCTACATAGCCAGTCTCAGCTCTCCTCTTCAAAATGTATTACAATTTTGAATGCTGAGTTTAAAAACTCGGTGCTGTTTGTTTAAAAACAATTTCCTTTTTCTTCTCCAGCATGTAGGAACAGTTTCTGTATGACAACCACCACCTTTCTATAAGCACTATAAAGTGACAAATTACCTGTCAAAAGAACACACCAATGTTAATTAAGTCATACACATAACACTGAAGGGTTTTTAAGAGTTCTTTCATGTGACACCTAACAGATTTTCTCTGGCAGAAAACAGAGGCATTTACCTCCCTTCGTTCAGGAAGAAAACCAGAAACTCCCTCCCTTCCCTTTCAGGTTAACCAAGAACCTGGTTCTAAATCAGTTTTAAAAGCGCAGGTTTTTTTTTTTTTCAATGCCTTATGAGAACAGTGAAGGAATGTGAAACTTCAGAATCTGCTTAAGTTAGTCAGGATCTTCTAGGGGAGACCTTGGCACTGATCCAAGCACAAATTAACTGCTAAGAGGCTTTTTCAAGTTAAACTTGAGCTCCAGAGAGCAGAAACACCCAGGCAGCAGTGCACAAAGCCAGCAGTCAGCAACAGCCCGTCTCAGGTGTGAGGGCCATAAGAGGAAGGGGGATTTCCGGGCACCCAAAAGGTCAGAGCCGATTTTTCCCAAAGGCTGAAGAGGAATACCCACCCACCCCATCTGCTCTGTTTGGGAATGAAGCAGGGACTCTGGGAAGAACCAAGGGCCCTCTGACAGTACTAAATTATAGGGACTTCCTCAGAGCCGTCCGTACCCACAGACACGTACACCCACAAGAAAAGAACGTAGCACCATACTCTATAAACTGAAGTCCTTTCTTAATGTCCTGTTGTCTAGTGCTTCTTTCTTCCGACGCATTGGACATGTTATCCTGAACATCCACGTTTCGGATACACACCTCCTCAAAAAGGAAAGCAGACAATGCAGTTAGCAGTGCTGGCCGCAGCAGCCGATGCCCGCAGCCCCACTGCTCCGCACCTCCCAGCCCATTTCTGCTGCCTGCCGCCCTGCACCACAGCAGCAGGGCTGAAGCGAGCCGCTCACGCCGCATGCGCACGTTACTGCTCAACCAAGCTGAGCCTCGGAGCTTCCACGGGCTGCTGTAACAGCTCTGTACTTCATTTGTTTCAGTATTCAGTAGAAATTACCTCAAAAGCCCAGTGTATTTATTAATAAAAAGACAAGGTGATTAGAAAACTACTGTTAGAGCCACCTCCCGAGTCTCTCGCTGCCGGCTGAGCACTGAAGGGTGCCTGGAAGCAGGAGCCCAATCCTGCCTGCGCAGACCTGCAGACATCACAGCTGGCAGAGACCACCTGCTGCATCTGTAAAAACGAATGGCTTTCATTCCACATCACCATCCAAACATTTAAGCATCATCTCACTAGTTTGAATTGGTGATTTTTTTTCATGTCATTCATTTAATGGACTTACAATCACTTAAGTTAAACAGGCAGAATAGATGTGTGTAACACCCAAGAGAAAGCTGCCTGCAGCACAGTTCTGCTGCTGCCTATGGCTGCACCTCGCTGCAACAGAAGAGCCGACTTCATTTTAACCAAAAGATCAGCAAGACAAATGTCCTATTCTGAAAACCCTAAGACTCTGAATAAAAAATAACGACCTTGAGAGATGTATTTTTTGGAAGAAAACTAGTTTAAGTAGGAATTTATTTCACAGCAACAATGGAAAATGAAAAGAATGAAAACAAAATGAAACACTTCTCACTGAATTGAACACATTGCCAACTGAGCAGAAAACTGCTGGATCAGATCCTTCCGTTCTCTGACTGACTTGGAACGTTTGCAAACACTTCTCAGCAGCCTCCAACAAGCGTACTCCCAGTTAGTGCTGTTCTACATGTACCTTAGTGAAGCACAAAGAACTGCCTCATTTTCCTAGAGTCACCAAGCAGAGGAAGGGAAGCCCCCAAAGCCTGCATCTCCCAGCCCCTCCATGGCCCCCAAGCTGCAGCAGCACTGAGCAGCAGGACATGGGGATCCCCAGCAGCAGCACTGAGCATCAGCTGCAGGGCTCCCAACAGCAGCACTGTGATGGGCTGTTCTGACAGCACATCTTCACGCAGGAATAACGCTCAGTAATCCACTCCCACAGCAGCAAATAACCAAATTCTTTCCTGTAACTGCTTTTCACGTGATTTTATGCATCCCCTTTTCTTCTGCAAGTTATTACTACACAGGGAGATACTGGTACATACACAAAAGACTTAATGTCAGAGAAACATTAAAGATATGCTATTGTTGGTGAAAAGAAATGTAATGTAAATGCCAAAAAGGAAATCCATCACCCCAATATGTTTTGTTCACTCCTTCACATTCAGGATTCTAACGAGGCTGGTAAGAAGTTCTCACACAAACGCAATCCAGCAGCAGTCTGGGCACTCACCGCCATCAAAAACGCGGCAGCAAATTGAAACGCACTTCAGCCCCTGCACAACAACCCATCAGCAGTACCTGCCCACGAGGTCTGTGCCAGCACTAAGATCGGCTTTGCTCTGCTAATTGTAAGCAATCTCAGCACTCCACCAACTCAGGTGACACGAGTCCGGTGTCGTAACAACTGCCTTTATCTATCACCTCTGGCAAAAGCAACTCACACGTTGACTCTGGAGGATGTGCAGATCCGGCTCCTGTAGCAATAACGCTGATGGAACTGTTACAAACTGGCACCACAGAGAAGAGAACAGCAAAGTGATGAACATACGCGAGCAGTGTCATTTACTACTCAAAGCACTTTTCTATTCTCTATGTACTCATTTTCATCCGTAAGACATTCAGGCAGAAGCTATCCTTCCTTAACATACAGTCATTTTGCCCCACTATTTGATGATTTTGCAGAAGATTTATAGCTGTCTCAGACACCACCTCCACCAGCATCTCTCCCATCCACCTCCTGTTTAGACCATCTCGTGCAACCAGAACCATGTTGGACTCAGTTACATACAAAGCAAGTAAATAACAGGATCCTGACTTTTAGTTACTCATTTTCAGAGTTCACAAAAATCACCTATTTAGCAATAGATTTTCCCCCTCATCTGAGCAGACAGAATTTAAAACAAATGTGGATGTGTACATATACATATACAAGTTAAAATATTGTTTGTATTACTATAAAAGCAAAGCCTACACTCTTGCTTTACTCTGTACAATTCAGTGAAAAGAACAACCTAAAGCAAAGGAAAAAGTATGGGATGCTAAATACAGAGCAAAAACAGACAACTCATCAGTAACTAAGGCTATAGGCAAACACACTGTTGCATTAGAAGTCGTTTTTCTACAACTGTTGCTGTATGACCAATTCAAAATCTGTTTAATAAATCTGACACAGGAAGAAAAGCTGCTGAAATCAAACAAGTTGAAGATCAATTTATACCACTTTATCATCACCACAGGCTTCAATTCAATCACATCTCACAAAAGCAGAAGCAAAGGGAAAATTCACTGCTGACAGCCAGCATCACCTCTTCTGACAGACACCAGCCAGCCAGACCAACAGCAGGCAGGAAGGACAGCGAGTTTGCACCAGCTCTGGCAGACAGAAAAACCTACACTTCTCTCTTACACAAAGCTGCTTACACCTCTTGCTGGTTACCTGCTTTCCTTCCAGCACAGGGCAAGACAGTGCTCTTGTTTCTATACTTTGTCAGTTCTGAGGCATTCAAGCCGAGCTGTAAAAGACATGACAATACATAGGATGCACCTGGGATAATTTTTTAGGCAAAGGGGATTTGAACACAACAGATGCTGGGCCATCCTGCAAAGCAAAATGGATCTTTGGAATGCTAATTAACCAATTCACACAGAACACACAGAGAAAGTTTTGATTCAGTCTTTCTGCAGATGGAACCCAGGTGCTGGGGTTCTGAAAAGGATGAGCATGCTGTAAAACCTCGAGCCCAGCAATCACCACTATTAGGTCTCAGGTGGTACTTTTCAAAGACTCTTGAGCGGTTCAACAGTGGCAGCAAAGCACGTGAACACACATCGTGAAGACCAGCACGGTTCTGCTGCTGTCAGAGCCAAGGTGCCCTCGTGGAGCACCCAGCTGCAGCTCACCCGTGGGTGCCCCTGCTGAGAGCTGAGGTCTGCAGAGTAAGGAGCGGGGCAGGGCCGAGCCTGACCTGTGCAGTGCAGAGAGCTCACTGGGAGGCGCAGAGAGAACAGAGGAAAAACACGCAACGTTATTTGGGGACAAGAGCTGTTAGCGCAGGGAGTTCGCGACCTTCAGCTGACCAAAGGCCCCGACACGGCTCCGTACTGGCCGCAGCGATCACAGACGCGCACTGTAGCCCGGCCCCCAGCGCCGCACATCCACCAGCAGCGCTCCGCGTCCACCGAGCACCACGGATGCGTCCGTACGGACGCGGCTTTCCAAGAGCTGGACGCGCACCCTCCCGCCACGCATCACCGAGTTCACTCGCTGGGTCACAGGAATCCTAAACCGACCCTCCGTACGGCACGGAGCACACAGAAACGCCCTGTGCCTCTATGGCGGGCGGAGAGCCGCGCGAACGGCCCGAGCGGAGCCGCCCCGGGACGGAGCGCACGGAAAGGAACAGCGGCGAGCCTTCGGTCCGCTCGGCCAGAAACGAACCGTGCCTGCGCCCCGGCGCCTTAAAACTTCACTCGGCGCCGCGAAGTTCACAGTTGTCAAAGCCCGTCCGCGGGAAGGAAAACGCGCACAGCCAGGCCGAGTCGGCAGCGCCGACGCGAACGGCGCCCGCCCGCAGCGCCTCCCGCCGGGCCGGGGGCTCCCGCAGCCGCCTTTGTTCGCGCCGAGCGGCGGCTCCGCCATCTCCAACAGCGGAACCGACCGGCGCCGCCCAACGCGGCAGGGGAGGGGAGGGCCGGGCCGCTCCGCCGGGAGGGGCGGGACCGGGGACGAGGCGGGGCGCGGCGCCCACCGGGGCCCGGGAGCGGCTGACGACGGCGCCCGCGGCGCGGAGAGGGGCGGGAGCGCTCCAGCCGCGCCGTAATGGGCCGCGAGAGGAGGAGAAGGAGGAAGAAGAGGAGGATGAGGAGAGGCCCCGCACCCGAGCCACCCCCCCGCTGAGCGCGAGCGGCCCGTCCCGCCGCGCGGCCCTACCTGCTGCTCGGGCCCGCGGGAGCACAGCGCCGCGGAAGGCGGAGCCGGGCGGCCTGGCGCGCGGCGGCGACGATAGCGACAACGACGACCACGACGGCGGCGCCTCCTCCGCTCCGCTCCGCCCCCGGTGCCGCTGCCGCGCGCGCCCCCTGCTGATGGGAGGCCGCAAACACGGCCCAGAGGACAGCGGGATGCGATTGGCCGGAGCGCCGGCACCGCGAGCTTTTTCATTGGCTTAGCATTCTTGTTTTGGAAACCTGCACTTTTGATTGGTGGCGGTGGGGAAAGCTTTTGGTACTGATTGGTTGAACGCTTTGCAGCCTCCCACCGCCTTCTGCTCCCGGCTGTCGGCGCGGCGCCTGAGCCTCTGCGTGTTCCGGGCTGCGCGGCCACTCCCGCGCCGCGGGCGGGACATGACAGCTGCCGCTGCCCGCAATAGGAGCCCTGGGCGGGGCAACGCAGGGGCTTTTAAGCCTCCCCTCAGTTCTCCCGGAAGAAGACTGACGTAAGAAGACGACCCGCGGCAGCCATCGCACCGAGTGACGGCATCAATCCGCTGCGGCGCGAGGGAAACGTCATTGCGTGAGGGACAGCGAGCCGCGGTCTGTTCTGCGCATGCTCATCTCCGCGCGGGGCTACCGCGCATGCGCTATGAGCTGAGGGGGCGGCGGGCGGAACTGCGTTGTGGGGCGCGGGTCGGGGAGGTGCCCGGCGAGGCGGCCTGCCCGGTCACTGGTTTTCTCCCTTTTTGGGCACCGGGATGGCCCGGCAGCGTGTACGTTGCTTGTCCGTACGGGCGCGAAGTCCAGGACTCATTGTGTGTTCTTCCCGTTCGTGCCGGAGCCCGACAGAACGTTCTTAAGAAACCTTTCCTGCATAACGTGAGCGGGCGGGAGGCCGCGCTGCGCTGCCGGCATCCACGGCCAGAGCGGGAGAGGTGACGGCCGGACAGCGAGCCGTCGGTTCGGTACGCGTCTGTGGAGTAGAGCTTCGGGAGAGGCCCGCGAGCGCGGACGCGAAGCCAGGGCGGTGATTTCGCCGCCGGGACTGCAGGAAGGCGGGAGGAGAAACGGGCGGAGCATTTGCGGCGCTGCGCGGTGAGGTCCGCCCGTCCCGCGCCGAGCTGTTGGCGCGCTGGGCGCTGTAGCACAGCGGGCGCTGCGGCGTCTCGTCCCGAGCGGCACGGCCGCGCTCGGCGTTTCCTGGCTCTCAGCCCCGCGCTGCTGCCAGGATCCCGGCGCTCACCGCCACCACAGCTCGCTGCGAGTCGCAGCGCCGGGCGCCCCGAGTGGCACGGCGTGATGTTAAAGCCAGAGGGACGTGAGAATAGCCGGGCTGTCAGAGCGGCAGGGAACGAAGCCGGTGTGCTAGAAAGACATTGCCGAACGAACCACTCGATTTGTTCACGGGCCGTCCCGTAAGGCAGCTGAGCCACAGCTGGACCTGTGAGTGCTGCTGCCAGCGTGCTTGGGAATGAATGTAGCAACGCACTGTAAATGTCCAACAAAAATACGTTCTTTGTGGAAATAATACGTTTAGCTTTTATATAAATTAGGTTGGAAGCGGTAATGCAATTATCTTCCTTCATTTGCTTGAATTATTTACATGACTCAGTAGCTAACTGCTCTGAGAGCAGACTAGTAGTCACACCTCAAGTACTGTCACGAGCCAACAGGTGATCATTGCTCCTGTTACAGAAACTGATCACGTTTCATTTATAATATTTATGGCAGCCTACATAAGCTGATTATTTCTGACAGATTCAATTGCTGTAGAATTATACTGAGATGAGAAACGGAACTTGATTACTGTGGCTTGTGAGAGATTAAAATGCCCTTTTCAGGGAACTTGGAAACAAAGTGTTTTGGTATCAATAGGAAGAGCCACCAGTACCTGGCTAGAACATCAGTACAGTCAGCTAGAACATCTTGTTGCTGCCTTGGAGAGTTAAAATTCTGGCTTCTCCAAGCCTGGTTTAAGAGATTTCATCACTATTTGTACTGATGATTTTGAACAAACAACACAAATAAGATTTGACGGGAACAGAAGAGTTTCACATACAAGCTGTAATGAGAAGCTACAGAGCTTTTCTGTGCTTTGGAGCAACTCGGTGTTCTTTGATCAGCTTAAGCACTGCAGTAGAATTGTGAGTCAGAAACATGTATTTTGGTTGCTTTCACAAAGCTGCCCAAGGACCTAGCTGAAAATAAAGAAACAGGATGGTCCTTCAAGTTGAGAAGCAGACCAAGTAAGGGATTACGGGGCGGGCTGTGGGGAAATCATAATATAAATCATTACACTTTTTTTTTTGCTGTTGTTTCTGAAGTGTTTATTTAAAAATCCCAGGGAAGTGTTGTCATCTTTAGTTTGCGTCTCTGTTGTCATACATTCTACATTTTAACTGTAGGCACCATTTACTTAGGAGAATTTTCTCTGATAAAAGTTCCTGTAAAGTCTTGAAAGATAGAACCTGAACAGCAGGTTGTTGTTACCCATGTCCCACTATTTGCAGGGTGGCTTGAAAACAGGACCATTCCTTTTTGTTATTTTTATGTTAAATTCAAACTAACTTTGGCAACAGCAAAACCAACTTTTTTTTTGTTTCAGAAATGGGACTTTTTTTAGGCCATGGTTGTAATTTAGCAATAAAAGTGACAGTGCAGCTTCTCCATCATAAGCACTTCTCATGTTCCTACACCTCTGTTGCCCCTTTCTTGTGGGTGCACAAATTCTCTGGGTTTGTGGTGAAACAAATTGACACACAGGCAAAACAGTGGCTGCGTTTCAATGGCAGAACTCCCTGATCTGGTTCACCTCACAGTCATGCAAACAGTTGACAACAAAGACATGCACTTGGAACAGTGTCCTGAAATTGTCACCGCTCCACTGGAACAGACATCCAAAAAGAATGTGCAAGAGAGAAGGAGAGTTAGCAGCTTGTG